CGAAAAATGTATGAGAAAATTCTGAGACATTTTAAATAGCTACTGAATTTATGGACAATATTTAACATATCGGGCAATCCTTCTATTTTTGCTGCCAAAGTGGTTTTGCGTTTCTCCAATTGCAATTCACACTCGCTTAGATTTGGACCGGAACGATTTGGCCAATCGGAAAATGGGCTCGTGAGAAAGGAAGGCCCCTGGAACCAAGCTGAATTCAACAAATCGTCCACAGAGCAACCTCGAGATACTAAATCGGCTGGATTCTGGTCCGTTGGGACATAATTCCAAGAGACATCATTGCAAATTTCTTGAATTTCTGCTACTCGGTTTCCCACGAATGTTGATAAAGTCGAAGAGTGTGAATTTATCCAATGAAGGGTAATTTGAGAATCCGACCAGAAAAATATTTTTGAAATAGGAAATTTAAAGTACAGTTTCAATTGGCTCCAGAACGTAGCGAGTAAATGGGCAGCACATAATTCAAGACGAGGCAGAGTTCTTGTTTTTAAAGGTGCAACTCTGGATTTCGATGCAATTAAATTTACTGATATGTTGCCAAATGAGTCTTCGCATCGAAAGTACAGGCAACAACCATATGCCTTCATAGAGGCATCTCCAAAACCATGAAGTTGAATATTGATAGGATTCGGCCTTCGAATGTATCGAGGAAATTTAATTTGCGACAAATTATGATAATCCGCCATAATATTGTTCCAAGCCGAGTCAATTTCTTGGGGTACTGATTCATCCCAATCACATTTTATAATCCAAAGATGTTGGAGTAAGATTTTGGCTTTTATTATGAGTGGGCTTATTAAGCCCATTGGGTCAAAGAGGGTTGACGTCAGAGACAAAATATTTCTTTTAGTATTATGTGAATACATTTTTGATGGCCGAAACTCAAAGTGGAATGTATCATCGTTTGAGTGCCATGTCATTCCCAAAGTGCTAGTGACGTCATCATCCAGTTTCATCTCTTTGATCCCATCATCCATTGATGTCAATTCTGGGCAATTGCTATGCCACTTCGATAGTGAGAATTTAGAGTAAGATAAAATTTCTGATACCTCCTTCTTGATGCGTTGTAAAGAGGCAAGATCGTCAGCACCAGTCACCATATCATCGACATAAAAATCATTTGTGACCACAGACTTCCCAACGTCGTAAGGTTCGGGGAAACGTTCTGCAGCATAATTCAATGCTCTGATGGCCAAATATGGTGCTGAGGCAGTTCCGTATGTAACGGTATTAAGAGCAAAAGTTTTTACCGGTTGTGTAGAGTCATGTCTCCAAAGAATCAACTGGAGTTTCCTATCCTCAGGGTGGACCAAAATCTGCCGATACATTTTGACAATATCAGCTGTCAATCCATAGCGATGACATCTGAAACGAAGCAGGGTGATTAATAAATTGTTTTGGATTGTTGGACCCACCATCATGATTTCGTTCAGGGACAATTGAGAAGAAGTATGACATGATGCAGTTTCGTGGAGACACTATTTGGTCGAAGAACACAGTGATGTGGTATGTAATAATTAGGAAAACCAACTTCCGCTTCATTCACCTGCGACATGTGACCCATTTCTTCATATTCCCTGAGAAAGTTTGAGTATTCATTTTTCAAGTCTGGATTTTTGTTTAATTTTCGCTCCATGGAAAAGAAACGTCGTAGTGCAATATCACGGGAATTGCCAAGACAATTTGGATCACCTTTTAGGGGCAGCTTCACCATAATACGTCCATCATTTTGAACTGAGACATTTTTCAGAAAATGCTGCTCGCAATTTTGCTGCTCCAGAGACAATTTCTGACGCTTATTTTCCACCGTATCAATTTTCCATAACATCTCCATATTTTTATTTAGTTCTTGGAAAATATTCTCACTTTGCACAATAGAGTAAGTTGATTGTTGTGTATTGTTTTTATTGCTGGTATACTTCCCCGAGACAATCCAACCAAAAAGTGTTTTTTGTAATGTGGGCAAGTTATTTCCAAGTTTTATTTGACCAACGGACAAAAGTTGGAAGAAAGATTCTGCTCCAAGTAGCATATCAATTCCTCGACGACGATGAAACTCTGGATCGGCCAGCTCTATGTTAGATGGCAAATTAAAATCTTTAATTGAAATGTTTTCATCGGGGTGATATCCGGTAATATTCCGTGAGACAAGAAACTCCAATGATAAATTAAAGTTATTAAGGCGTGATCGAATTGTAGTTTGTGTTTTGTAGGAGACCTTTAATTTCGAAGAACCAACTCCTGAGACATCAGTATGATTTGGACATTTCTTTAAGTTCAGAATGTTACAAAGACTTTCGCTTATAAAATTCACCTGGGAACATGAGTCAAGTAGAGCTCGTCCAAGTTGAAATTTCCCCTCAGAGTCACGAACCAATACTAATGCTGTAGCAAGAATTACATTACTCACTTGAGGGCTAGGCTTGTTCTGAAAAGTACCATGTGTGGCAGCAGAGGAAGGTAACGGCTCTTCTTCTTGAGAGCAAGATGGTTGATCAATTTGCTTATGTAGAAGCGAATGATGACGTTGTTTACAAAATCTGCATGAATATTTTGAGGGGCATTGTATATAACCATGCCCTTTTGCTAAACAGTTGAGACAAAGTTTGTTTTGTTTAGCTTGATCAATCCGTTGATTGGGAGTTAAAACAATAAAGCGTTGACAAGTTGTTATCATATGGCCCGATTTCGAGCAATGCGTGCAAACGAAATCTTGAGGCACATTTTTTGTTATAAACGAATGTTGTTTTTGATTACTATGTGAGTAATTTGTTGTTGTATTCGGGGTAAATTGTTTTGCAGATCTTCGGCACTGAGCATCCAATTGTTGACAACGCTTGTCCAACATGGAACAACACTCAGCCCAAGAGGGCAATTTTGAATAATCTATGAATTCATCCCATCGTTGTTTTGTCTCCGAATCAACCTTGCTCATAGCCAGATGAATTATGAATGCATCACAAATTTTCTCATATGAGCCAAGAGATTTTAATGAGCTATACAAAGCTGAAATCGTATCAACAATATTTCGTAACTGCTTCGGGACAGGTTTATTTGATTTTGGAAGATCGAACATTGTTGTGACATTCTCCAGAAAAATCAAAGTGTCGTTGTCGTACCTTTCCTTTAATCTCCTAAGAGCACTCGGATAATTTTCATCGGTGACTTGGAATGCCTTTATTGTGGCAAGAGCTTCTCCACTGAGACATGAGAGCAAATGGTTAAATTTTTCCGAAGTGGATATATTTTGGTCATTATGAACCAAATTATTAAAAGTATTTATAAAGTTTTTATATTCCAAATACTTCCCATCAAATTTGGGTAATTTGAGGCTTGGTAGTCTGCTTGATGGCGCTTGAGGCAAAACAAAAGACTGATCACCAATGCTTGGTCGTCTGCCTTGTCCAATGAGGGTCAAGAATTCGAGATTTGATTGTGACATAAAGTTCGTCAAGTTCAGCTCTACCATTGTCTTGAGGGGACAATCTTTCAATTTGGTTTTGATAGTAAGAGGCTTGTTTGTAGTATGACTCTATAATTCCCAACCTGCATTCCAATTCTGTATGAGACAGAGAGGGATTGGATTCAATTATATTTTTTATCCGAGTCATACTACCCTTAGATGAGCCACGCTGTTGTTTCAGCTCCTCAATTGTTGTTTCCCTTTGGGACACTTGAGCTGGTTCATTATTCATCATTTTGATTATTAATTCAAATAAAATTTGGGTATGTAAAAAATTTCTAACCACGAATATATTGCGTAATCAAGAGCAACCGAGCAAAAGTTTTTTCTTAAATTCCAGAGAAAATGAGAAAGAATATATGTGGAATATGTTGTCTCACTCTAATTTTTGGTTTCAGCAATGTTGCTAAATTGCTTATTGAAAACGACGCTAATTAATTCCAAAATGGCGTAAATATGGCCGACGGAGAAAGGCGGGCAAAAATATACCAAATGCACTTGGTTATACAACAGCACAAATTTTTGGAGGTTAGGAGGACGCTTCACAATGTCCTGTCACGGTCGCCAATGTTTGAGGATTGCCTATTTTGACAACCCCGGAATTTGTCCAATATGTAATTGAAGAAATTCCTAACTCAAGGGTTCGGCTTGAGTATGTCACTTGTACTTACTCCGTGGGTAATGTTGACCTTTGTTCCAAAGGGGCACTCACAATGTTTGATTTGTCCCAGGGTGCAAGCAATTCTTCCTCCAGAGGCAGCGACAATTGCCAATATTTGGCCCAATATTCAACAAGCTTCCTCAGAGTAAGCGTATGGATGTGTGTAATTTTTTCTCCAACGGCAGGGAAAGTTGTTTGTTTCAGCAGCAAAGGTTTCCTCTTCGTTGGCCTTCCACTTTAAATTTTCCACAGAATTGCCTTAATGGGTAAGGCTTTATTAATTCACAATATAATTTTGTTTCAGGAAACAATTTATCATTTGCTCACGAGCAAGATATATTAATTAATTTTTGTTTATTTAAATATAATTTATTTAATTATTTGCACTTTGCAATAATTCCGCTCAACAAGTGTGTTGGGTATTTTTTTTCTTTATATTTTGCCACTTTACCGTCACCAATAGATTTCAATAAAACAAACGTCTTTTCTCTTCAGCAGTTTCAAATATTAATGTTTTATTGTTCTAATATTCTGGCATACCAACCAGGATAGCGGGACAATATTTTTTTCATAGAACAGCAGCAGAACGATCGACAGAGGCAGAGAAAAAGAATATGTAAATAAATGTATGTGCGTGTGTACATACATTCCTCTTGTTAGATCGTTCAACTGCTGTTGCGTTTAAACAACAACAAACAGTGTTATTCTCTTTGTGCGGCGAATTCACGTACATCGCACAAAGAGGAATAACAAAAAGGGCATTAGGGCGGCTCTCGTTTGGTGCCAACATAATATAAAAGCAATACCAAAATAAATTAATAGAATTTACATTAATTTAAGTATTTTTTAAATAAAAAATATATAATTTTATGAACAAAATTAAATGGCCCTTGAGTCAAAAAATATTAAATAAATTTAATAAGAATTATTAAAGGGATTTAGCCAAAACAAAAATCCACAAGAATTAATATAGATTAATTTTTTCGGATAGCCCCCATATAAGGGTACCCCCAATTTTAGGTATTTTGGTGTTCTTGAGAAAGGGTTTCAACCGAATTCGCTGCAATTTGATATTTTGTAGTCGTATATTGTAACAAATCTCCCTACCAAAACTTATTAATATTTGCCCCCGTTTTTAGGGTAGCCCCCATATAGCCACTTTTTATAACATTCACCACACTGTGGTACATGTATTTGTGCATATGTTTGTAACAGGAAAAAGGAATCTATCTCGATTCCTTTCCTCTTGAGAATATGCATAGAATCACTTTGTGAGTCGATTTATGCATGTCCGTCCGTCTGTCGGTCTATGTATTTTTATGGACAAAGTACAGGTCGCATTTATGATCCGATTTAAATGAAATTTGGCACATGACACTAATTTGGCCTAAGGACGAACCCTATTGAAATTGGTTCACATTTAGATATAGCTCCCATATATAGTTTCGTCCGATTTTATGTTAATGGAGCACCATACTGCCAATATTGGTCCGATTGAGTTTCATCCGATTTTATGTAAATGCTGCACCAAACTTCCAATATTGGTCCGATTGAGACAAAATTTTGCACAGAGTACTGAATTTGCTCCAGATTGGTGTATGTGAAGTTTTATTGGAATCGGTTTAGATTTAAATATAGCTCCCATATATAGTTTCGTCCGATTTTATGTAAATGGTCCACCAAACACCCAATATTGGTCCGATTGAGGCAAGATTTTGCACAGAGTACTGAATTTGCTCCTGATTGATGTATGCGATGTTTTATTGGAATCGGTTCAGATTTAGATATAGCTCCCATATATAGTTTCGTCCGATTTTATGTAAATGCTGTACCAAACACCCAATATTGGTCCGTTTGAAACGAAATTTTAGTCAGAGTAATGAATTAGGTATAGATAGATATATATCGGCGATCCCATTTCAATGGTCCTCCAAAGATGAAATGTCTATTCTATCTAAAGGATTTTGTACATATGATCATCCCTTGTATGTACCCAAAGTTGTGAAGGGTATCATATAGTTGGCCCCGTCCGACTTTTAAACTTTCCTTGCTGGTTTTATATGAAAATAGTTATCTGATTTGTTCCGCGTTTTGTGTTTGGTTCTAAGATTCTGTTGTAATCATTTCACCTGCGGAGGATATTGAGATATAAAACTAAAACCGTAAGGTTCGATAATTAACTATAGCCCGCATTTAGACCTAGCCCTAGCCCCTGTGTGGGAGGTACCAGAAGGAGTGGTCCGATATTCCCCAACTTCATACTTGAACTAAGTTTGAAAGAAATAATAACATGGAAAAAGTTTGGATGAAATCAAAATTTTCTGAAACGTGGGGTCTAGAACCAATATTTTGATGAGGAATATTTTCACCGTGTCCAAGTGTATACACCCTCATTAGCAAGCTGAGAGTATAATTGTACATTAAAAATTTCCGAAATTTGTATTATGGGTTACATAATCGGTTTGTAGAAATGTCGGTATAGGTCCACTTTTCGGTATGTTTCCTATATGTTCATTTCAAGTACCTGCCAGTATATCTATGGTGGAGGGTATCCAAAGTTCGGACCGGGCGATCTTAATGCTTTTCACTTGTTTAATAGTACTTTTTTGATGCTATAAAACAGCATGGACTTTAAAATATATACATTTTAAGAACCATATAGAGGCCTATTTTTAAGGTTTATAATAGACTGTGGAATTTTTATGTATATTATTTAAATTACTATATAAAGACAATGATTTCTTAAGAACATTTTTTCAAGAACAATATAGAGGAATTTATTAATGAATATTTATTCAAGGACTATAAAGAGGCGTGGATTTATTAAAGAATATTTTTTCAAGGACTATACAAAGGCGTGGATTTATTAAAGAATATTTTTTTCAAGGATTATAAAGAGGCGTGGATTTATTAAAGAATATTTTTTCAGGGACTATAAAGAGGCGTGGATTTATTAAAGAATATTTTTTTCAAGGACTATAAAGAGGCGTGGTTTTATTAAAGAATATTTTTTTCAAGGACTATAAAGAGGCGTGGATTTATTAAAGAATATTTTTTTCAAGGACTATAAAGAGGCGTGGATTTATTAAAGAATATTTTTTTCAAGGACTATAAAGAGGCGTGGTTTAATTAAAGAATATTTTTTTCAAGGACTATAAAGAGGCGTGGATTTATTAAAGAATATTTTTTTCAAGGACTATAAAGAGGCGTGGATTTATTAAAGAATATTTTTTTCAAGGACTATAAAGAGGCGTGGATTTATTAAAGAATATTTTTTTCAAGGACTATAAAGAGGCGTGGATTTATTAAAGAATATTTTTTTCAAGGACTTTAAATAGGCGTGGATTTTTTAAACATATTTTTTTTAAGGACTATAAAGAGGCGTGGATTATTTAAGCATATTTTTTTCAAGGACTTAGAAGAGGCGTGGATTTATTAAAGAATATTTTTTCAAGCCCCCGTAGAAGAGGCGTGGATTTATTAAAGAATATTTTTTCAAGCCCCCGTAGAAGAGGCGTGGATTTATTAAAGAATATATTTCAAGTGCCAACTGAGGCGTGGATTTATTAAAGTATATTTTTTCAAGGACTATAAAGAGGCGTGGATTTATTAAAGAATATTTTTTTCAAGGACTATAAAGAGGCGTGGATTTATTAAAGAATATTTTTTATATAAATTTCCCTCCATTTTCCTTAATGACTCACTATGCCCCTCCTTCATTTTGTCATATATCTTTACATAAATGAATTTTACCATCTGTCATTTACATTCACACATTTAGGTAGAAATAATGAAATAAATGAGAAAAAAACTTTAGACTAAAAAAGTAAGCAAACAATTTAAAAGCTAAAAAAATGTAATTAATAAAACTTTTGCATTTCATTCTTTTTGAAGGATTTAAATCAACTTTTTCGTTTTTAAAGAGTTTTGTTTTTCTTCGTTTTGTTTTTTTCTTTTGAAGGACTTGGCAATTGTCGGCGCCACGAATGCAATAACAACAACTCAGTTATACGGAATGGATGACAAAACGTACACACACACAATTGACATAAAACATAGCCAAAAATGCCTCAAGGAATCGACAAGCCGAGATGGTTGGTAGTGAGGCAGACCGGGATTAAGGATGTCGGAGAGAGTGAGATAGCCAAATAACAAAACGAAACAACATGAAACACAAACGTAATAAGCATGGAAGATAAAATTAATTTGACATAAAGTCTAAAGTAGATTATTATAAATCGTATAATGTGAGTTGTTGAAATTTCTTTCTTGGCAGTGGCAGCATCAACAGCAACGCTTACACCAACAAACATCAATTTCAACCATCAACTTTCACAAGACATTCGCCATGATGTAGTGATGACGGGCTAATTAATTTCCCGCTAAGAACAGCAACAACAACAAGTCCACAGCTTCGTCGTCAGTTATTATGAGAGTTTAATTAGAAAAACGACACTGGAACAAAAGCTACACACAAACAGGCAGACACACAGCGAGACATAAACGGCTGAACAACGCAATTATTCTTCGCACCCTCCCCCCAAACAAATTACAAGAAAAAGGTTTAAAAATTA